AAAGAAAATAGAGTAATTTTACAGCCCGTGGCGTACGTTCCATATTTTCGTGGACGCCCGGTGACGTCATACGGCAATTTTCGCGTGAGAATCGAAGTTCAATGTTCACGTGGTAACGTCCAGAAAAGGAATAGGCCAATTATCCGATGTTCCTCGTCGATAACAATGGACTCACTCAAGCAATAACAGTGTATACAAAACATAAAAAATACGTATATAAATCAAGGTTGTTTCTAATAGCGGGGTCAAGATCGAAAAATGTGGAAATGCGGGTCACTCGGATCATCCGCTAAGCCATTTTTTTTTCAATTTCTTACGTTTACGTATTAAATGGGTCGAATCGCTAACAAAAAGAAAAAGAATCTGGACCGAGTGCGGGGGGTGTTCCAAAAGTCAGTTAACCGCTTGAAATTGCAGAATTGGTGGAAACTCTGAAGAGAGTTTCTCCCAATTCCCCCTCGAATCTCCCACTCTGAGAGATTCGTATATGCAAGTGTAGCCAGAACACGCAAAAGCCAATACACGAGTTAACCGACTTTCGGACCACCCTGTACGCGTTAGATTGGCGGGAAAACGAAGTTAAATTCTACTCCGAGGGCGGGTCGAAGAAATTTGTAGACTGAAAAATATATATATATATACAAAATTACAAATCGACGAGACTACAACTCTAAAGCCGAGGATCAAAACTTCATCTTTTTATGGATTTAATGGAGTTTTACCGGTTTCCTCCTGAAAGCCGTGACAAGATAAACCTTTTATTCCGTGGAGTAACATTAAAATACACCTTTTTTTTCTAGCAACTCCCTTTACGAATTTTCCAGTAAAGTGCTTTAGAATTTTATCATAACCCTTTCCGAAACTGTTCGGTGCCACTTCGCATTTCAATAATTTTCCGCTGATGTAAGGAGAAGAAAAGAAGAACAGGAGGAGGAGGAGGACGAAGAAAGAGGACGCTTTCGTTATATCTCAAAAAACGCAGAGGGGGGATTTAAATTTAATGCGTAGCCGAGCTTAAACGTCATTTTAAGATTTCACGGAGGACCAAGCTTTTATCTACTTTTTCCTCGACGTCCAGGCAATAACCCGAACGAAAAGTCGACACGAAACTTAGCTACGCTATACACTAGATAAAGCAAGAGCACCTTAAAAGGAGGGTGGTCGTATGTTCGTCGCGATACAAAAGTTCGATCACGCTCTACTTTCGATGCGAGTGCTTCATTCGTCGCAGCTCTTCTCGCCCAACTAACTCCGAAGAGATAAATAATAAAAATAAAAGAGGAGGTCCATTCCACAATAATTTCGACGGGAAACTCCACCGGAGCGGTTAGAAAACCATGCCAAATTCGAACCGACGTTAGACAATAATAAAAAGAGCGAGTTCCCACCCAAAATTTAACATTAAAAACTTCTTTTTTTTGTGCGGTGGAGCAGCGCAATAACGTTATATTTTCGTATCTTAAAAATAAAATCTGGGCATATATTATGCATTACGGCATTTATCTGATGAATATTTTAGAGACGTGGACCGGATCCAACTCTTGACTTTTCTTTGATAAATTCGAACCTCCGAGGAGAAAAATATGAAAATAATAATAATAAAGTAAAATTCGATCGAAATTAGTTTATAGTTACGATGTATTAAGCGTTATTACTGGTGAGAAGAGCCCCGGAGAGATAAGAATGCACCGAACAATATCAATAATAAAACAACAAAATTGTATATTAAAAAGTTAAGGTATCTTCTGCGGCACGAAAGCACAATGTAATTAATTTTTAAGCAGACGGAGAAGCTCTTTAAACTTTTAAGAACGTTCGAAATATCTAATATTTAGAGAGTTGTAAAGGCCCGCATCTATGGGGATGTGTATTAATCAACGAGGGAACTGTGTAGAGAGTCGCCCAAACCGGCCATTTTTATAACTCGAACCCGCATAATTTTACCATTACGCGCGCGGGCGAGGAAAGAAAATAATAAAATTTCCAATCGAACAAGAAATTCGGAAACGAAAAAATGGAAATGTTTCCCACAAGAAGGAAAGGGGGGAGAGAAAGTAAAAGAGCAATTCTAAATTCAATCATAAAACTATATTCTACGGGGGAAAAACTTATCCGAAATTTCTATTAAATAGTTTTCTCCCCTTCCTTCCTCGTGCCCCGGGCCAATTGCATCGATTAGGATTGGAAGGACGAAGAAGAAAAGCAAATATACTGAATAAAAATGCACGGGCAAAGTATCGATTTCGATGGGATTACGTTGGGACGGAGGCTTAAAAACTCTTTATTTCTCTTCCATCTCCCAGTAGGAAAGGCCGTAGTGTCTCGACAGTGGTGGTCCGTGACGCCACAGAACGTGACGCGCGATGGAAAACGTTCACGCTAACAGTCACGCCTGGCATCCTGAGAACTAGGCACGGAGCGGTCAAGGAAGCTGCGTGTGCCTTGGCGAGTTTACCGGAGTAGAAAGACCAACCCCTCGTCCTAGCCGTTGTGCGGATTATACACCACCTCCTCCCATTACAGACTTTGACAGCCGCCCCCGTCGGTACGACATTTAAAAAAAAGTGACAGAGTTACCAACGACCTCGAGGGGGTCGGATTTATGACGAGTGGCGGTGGCTTTCCCATCCGCAGAGGGTTAAAAAAAGAAGAGGCATAGGACGAGCAATACGCATGTGAGAACGACCGCCAGGGGACCTTGATGTTCCCATCTAACGGCAGGATGTCGGACAATAATCCGTTTAACCCCACGCGGTTGGACTCGTCCTTTCGAGTCACACCTACACGCCCCGCCGGTTCCGGTCGTTAACTAAAGGCTCCAGTTTTTCCACGCCGCGTACGAACGAATTGTAACAGGTGTATGACCTACCGTTTCCCTCGTTGCCTCATTAACAATTCATTCTTTACCGGAGAACAATCGCCACTTTGACGTTATTCCAAAGAGGAACAGATTACTTCCGGTCAGCGCTTACCCACTCACACACACACAAAAAAAATCTCGTCCGAGAGAACGGAAGCGCACTAATTAAGCAAAATTTTTGTACGAAAAAAATGGAATTTAATGTGGAAAAGGCGAGGCTAATTTGGATTTCGCGAGAGGATCCTCTAAACTTTTTTAAAATCAAATCGTTTTTATTAACGGAGTGCCCAATTAGTGAGCCAACGGAGACCCCTTTCCTCCGCCAATTCGCTGTTTTTTAACAAGGTTTAACCACTCCAAAACCTTAATCTACATTAAAAAAAAAGTGAAGTCGAGAAACGGATTAGAACCCCCGAGCGATACGTCACGAATTTCGACACTAAAATCACTAACTCGGCATCTAAAACTCGCAATAAAAACGTCCCGAACACTCGGCCGAATCACACTTACACAATTAGACCTAAACGATAATATATTATATATATATAAAGCAAGGGCCGATCGATGCTAACTGTATCACTACTTAATTCGATAACAAGACGGAGGAGGAGGATGACTCAAATTACATCCAATCAAACAGAAATTAACACTTTAGTACGCTCATTAGAATTTATATTTGGAACAAACAAAAACAAGGATCTGAATATCTCTAATCTATTATACAAACACTGCGCGAGATGAATTTATAATACTCGAAACCACCAGTTAGGAGTAACTCACTCACATAGACAGACAGACACACGCACGCACCCCAGCAATTTTTAAATTAGCGATAAACACGGTTCGGACGAACGACCTTCGAATCATTATCGTCCCCTAAATTGTTTCAATTTAAGCCCGTTTAATATACATAACTCGGGGGGAGAGGAAACAACGCGAAAAAGTGGAAAAAACGGTTAATCTTAAACGCTCCCAATTAAGGAACCGCTATTACGCCACGCATTAAGACACAGGGAAGACGACTGCAGACAAATTAATGCAATTAGGTCACTAGCCTGCCTCCATTTTTTCTTCTCCATCTGCCACTTAACTCCTATTATCGTCTTTAGCAGACTGAAGTAATTTTGGATGTGGGCGTGACGGAGGGGGAGGGTAAAAAACAAGACCCAAACAACTGCCTAAACTTATTACAGGAGGGGGGATCCAACGTTCCGGTTAATGACGGGACGCCGTCTATCGATAAACGATATATAGGTCCCTCCTACGCCGAATGATTCGAACTTTGACGCCGTCGGGAGTCCAAAACTTCTCCATATACTAATTAACGCTTTAGCGAGGGGGATCTCGCCTGGACGTAATTACTGGCGAGAGTTCTACGCGTTTTTAACGTTTTATTATTAATTGCACGGCGCCGCGACTTCTAAACTGATGATCCAACTTTTCCAAGCTCTCCTCCGCGTCGATATCGCTCTATAATAAAGCTACGACAAAACCCACCCCCGGTATCAGGCAATCGAATTCGCCGAGCTTGCAGTGGAAGCCACATTCCTCCACAGCGTCGCGGACCCTGGGAGGTGGTGGTGGAGGAGGAAGGAACCGACCACGTGTTGTTCGGACCCCCCCGGACACGGCGCGATTTACCTAACCCCCCCGAAAAAAGAGACCGGAAACCGCCGGGAGGAAGAACCGAAGAATCGCGTCTCCTTCCCGGAAGTGAGTAAACATTTCTGGCGACTTCTAGCGAAAAGCTATTATTTCCGTTTCCGCTCCCGCGACGTCGCCGGTGAGTTGGCCCATAAAAGAGCTTCGACCGGGACGCATTTAAAAAGAACGTTCGTCCTCCCCTCTGGCTTCTTTATTACCAGAGTCTTTCTCGGCCGAAATTGAGCTGGCCGGGGGGGGAGGAAACTTCGCCCGAACCCTGGCCAGAGAGCCGAAAAGATCTGCTATCTGCCTTAATTAAGCCACGAAAAATGAAACTACCCCTCCCTCCGATAAGAATATGCAATACTAAGAACGGACGAGGAGGGGCTCAAACGGATATCCTAACGAAACGTGTTCGTCGTTACACGCGTGAATAAAAGATTGAACCGTGGATAGAAGGAAAATTCGAACGGGGGGTGTGGTGGTGGTTACTTACATTTAATTTCTTGATTGTGCATGTCGTACGGGTATCCGAACGAGCGCGTACGGGGATGGAAGCGGCGAGGCACAGCTGCCGAACGGCATACACGCGCGCGCGCACAGACACACAGACAGACAGCTGTGGCCAGCTGATCACCCGACTGAGGCGGGTAGAATGGGACGGAAAAGGAGGAGGAGCCAGAAGAGGTTCAACCGGACATAATGCGCCTTCTGCATGCAGACTTTGCCGACGCCATATTGGCTGGCTTCTTCCTCGGAGAACGTGACGTCGCTCATGTTTTAATCGATGAAAAATGCTGGGATAAGCAGATGCGCTTCCGTTGCCATGCTTCCACGAGTCCGAATCGATCGATAAATCCGGTAATCCGGGATGGCTTCGGGCCCTATTTTCGCCTCGACTTTAATTTAAGCGAAGGTCGATTTCGTCACTCCCCTCCTCGTTCCCGCGGATCGAAACGAAAACGTGATGAATTTGCATCCGACCGAGACTTGAAAAAACGGATAAGAGTTAGCAATACGCGAAAGGGACAACGTTAATTTAACGAGCGTAAGATGGCAGAAGCCAACGGGAGGAACGAAGAAGCTGCAAAGCCTTAACGGGTATATATAATCCAATTCAGGTGATGTTCCTTACTTCTGATCAAGATTAATGGACGGTCGCGGAAATAAAGATCGCAGAAAGATCAAAAAATAGCAACTAACTTCGCTAACTGACCTTGGCTCCCTTCTTCCGCGTATAAACACGCACTTTATCCCACTATTTTCCTTTCTATCTCCATCGAGGTTTAATAATTCTCGCGTAGAGTAACGCGGATATATATACTGTATATATATATATATATAAACCTAAAAACCCATGGCACCTTTCCTGCTCGCAGACTATTAAACAATCAAGCATTTTCTGAACAAATCTCGTTAAAATAAAGATCTAACGATGTATTACAAGCAGAAACACTTATTACTTCACTGATATTTCTATTAAAGCATCAACCCGATTTTTTTCCGACTCTAACAGGAAAAAAAGGGGGGTGGAGGATAATGAACCAACGCAGCGTAGCAAAGAGATATCAGATGTTTCTAACCGAGAGCCACATGCTAACTCGAGTTATTAATATATCTAACGAATCGTTCTTGCATTATCTCACACCACCGGGAAGACTATAAGATGCCAGATTTAACCGATTGACTTTGCCTAAGGAAATTATTTTTTTTTAAATCTACAATCTAGCGACTTTCCATCGATTTTCTAATCGATAAAAGTGTCGTGAATGTGTTTAATAATTTAAATTAAACGAATTAGTTAAATTCCTTAGCCAATTAGTCAAAGCCCGATGCGAGGTTAAGGAACACGAAAAAACGTGTAGGAAAATCCTAATTCGTGAAGAAACCTCGAGGCTAATCAATTAAAAACCGGCGAAAAATTACACGAAAATCGCCTATCTAGTCGAATAGACCAAAGACTTTTCGGCAAGTAAAGAGAGATAGAGAAAAAGGAGAAAAACAGGAAGGGGAACCGAACCCAAATTCTGATAGTTAAGCTGAAAATCTTGCTGCTCGGCGCGATTTTTATCTCCTCTAATCAAACTTTAATTAAACTTCTAATTCATTTTAGTTGTAATTAAAATAATTCTGCGTTATAGGTAATTTCCCGTTTAAGTAATTCGAATTTACTCCAGGAGCGAGAGAGAGAGAGAGAGAGAGAGAAGGTATTATGCTGACTAGTCGATTTTACGGAAGAGCACTTTGCTCGATCGAGAAACATCGTATATCATTCACGATAATTAAATCGTTAATATAAAAAATCGCACGGATTAAAACTAGGTTTGCAGAAACAATTCCACGAGCGATTGAATCCTCCTCTTTTTTTTTCTTATATACACACAAAAGGGAGGAGGGGAAAAAAATAAGATTCTAATCGGCGCGTCACATCTACATATCAATAGATGGAAGAGTTTGAAATGCAAATAATCTTTACTTTAATAGTCTAAGACGCTCCTCGTGCACAAAATCGATACTTTCGGATGACTTAAGGCTAAACGGCATCGCTGATTCTATTCGAATCGATCGTCGACTTCACCGATATACGTTGCCGTATGATTAGTAGTCATATTAGCGAAACATTCGTCGCTAGATGAAAAAACAGCGCTGCTGCGAGCGGGGGGGAAGAGGAGGAAATACGAAAGAATGCAATTAAGCACAAGTATCGAAACACGATTTTAAAAAAAAAATTTACTACACTATACTTTCCTAATGACGAATTGTTTCGGTGTCGAAATAACATTTGTATATTTAATAATTAACAATCTAATCTACAGATTAATCTGTAGATTAAATCGATTTTCGTAACGGAAAATATGTAGTAACAGCTTTTATTAGAACGGGGGGAGGGGATCCGTATCTCCCGAGTCGATTTCATCTATAAATTGTCACACGTCTTCTACATTCCCGAGCCTTTCATTTTTTAATGAGGTGCGTATCCGTCATCCATCGACGTTCTATACGAGGAGAAATGTTATCCTTTCAATGTTAAGATATAGGAGAGAACGTCTGGCCTGGCCTTTTGAATAATTCCAGTCTCTTGGCGAAAACATCATGAATAAACAAACCGCTCGGCGTAATGAATAGAAGGAGAATTTCCCAAGTTAATCTGGAAATTCCTCCACTTTCCTTCGTCGCTGGGCACCAGCGAAAATAGAATAAAAATAAAATCGAATATTAATTTCTGAGCGATTTCTTTCGCGGGATTTATCTGAATGATAAATGAAGTTTAAAAGCGGGAAAAAGTAGAAAAATTTTCCAAGTGTAATTCCCTACGGTCTATAATAATGGAGGGTAGAAAACCGAGGGAATTTCGCCACGGAAAGATTGATCATTCATCCGTGATCGGTCATCGATTCATAAAATTATCGAGGAAATTTATTATATTTTTATTCGTCCTTTTGAAAACAGTAGAAGAGAGAGAAAGGGAGGAGAAAAAAAAAAGATTTAAACTTGTGAATAGGAAATTTTTATTGGCCTAAGTCCAGTTTAGCACCAGCTCCAGGAGTGAGTGAAATTTTCTGATCGATTAAATTAATATTGGCTAATTATAATCGTGAATAATGAATCAGACTCAGAATTCTGTTTAAAAATAAAGAGGGGAAGTAATTAAGATAACTTCTGTGGAGTTTTCTTCTTCTGTTTTTTTAATGGTTCAGAGTAGAGCGATATTTTGATATATGTTATATACATAGTTCAGGTTTTAGGTGATATATCAAGTGCATGGTATACATGGCAGCTATGCAGAAACTATGTTGGATATAATCCAACAACTTGCCATTTTTTTTGTTCCCCACTACTTCTTAGTTATGAGAATTCAGATCTTATTTTAAGAGTACTTGGTACTCTATATTAAGGAACATTACAAAGGAAAAAAAAAGGAATTTTCAGGATGAATTAAGAAATACACATTTTAAATGATCACTGTGCAATTTAATAGATGAAATAGCGTAGCAGCTATTAATAACTGCTTAAAATGGGAGATAATTTGGCAATTTTTTTAAATAAGAAGACACCAGATAGATTTAAAAATTTATTACATATTTTCCTAGTTATACCTAAATTTTATACTTTAAACATTATTGTTGAGATTAAAAAATACCATTCTGACATAGACCCTTCCTAATTATGCCTTAATAAAATTTGCATTCCTTTAAAGGAAAAAAATCATTGTTTTAAATCCAGTTTATGAAACAATTTATTTAAAATTAAAAACAAATAAATAAAGGAAAAAAAAATCAAATTGTTTCATTCTGAAATAAAATCTTAAGAGAACAATTTGATTTAAGGTTACNAATTCCGGTGATGTTCCTTACTTCTGATCAAGATTAATGGACGGTCGCGGAAATAAAGATCGCAGAAAGATCAAAAAATAGCAACTAACTTCGCTAACTGACCTTGGCTCCCTTCTTCCGCGTATAAACACGCACTTTATCCCACTATTTTCCTTTCTATCTCCATCGAGGTTTAATAATTCTCGCGTAGAGTAACGCGGATATATATACTGTATATATATATATATATAAACCTAAAAACCCATGGCACCTTTCCTGCTCGCAGACTATTAAACAATCAAGCATTTTCTGAACAAATCTCGTTAAAATAAAGATCTAACGATGTATTACAAGCAGAAACACTTATTACTTCACTGATATTTCTATTAAAGCATCAACCCGATTTTTTTCCGACTCTAACAGGAAAAAAAGGGGGGTGGAGGATAATGAACCAACGCAGCGTAGCAAAGAGATATCAGATGTTTCTAACCGAGAGCCACATGCTAACTCGAGTTATTAATATATCTAACGAATCGTTCTTGCATTATCTCACACCACCGGGAAGACTATAAGATGCCAGATTTAACCGATTGACTTTGCCTAAGGAAATTATTTTTTTTTAAATCTACAATCTAGCGACTTTCCATCGATTTTCTAATCGATAAAAGTGTCGTGAATGTGTTTAATAATTTAAATTAAACGAATTAGTTAAATTCCTTAGCCAATTAGTCAAAGCCCGATGCGAGGTTAAGGAACACGAAAAAACGTGTAGGAAAATCCTAATTCGTGAAGAAACCTCGAGGCTAATCAATTAAAAACCGGCGAAAAATTACACGAAAATCGCCTATCTAGTCGAATAGACCAAAGACTTTTCGGCAAGTAAAGAGAGATAGAGAAAAAGGAGAAAAACAGGAAGGGGAACCGAACCCAAATTCTGATAGTTAAGCTGAAAATCTTGCTGCTCGGCGCGATTTTTATCTCCTCTAATCAAACTTTAATTAAACTTCTAATTCATTTTAGTTGTAATTAAAATAATTCTGCGTTATAGGTAATTTCCCGTTTAAGTAATTCGAATTTACTCCAGGAGCGAGAGAGAGAGAGAGAGAGAGAGAAGGTATTATGCTGACTAGTCGATTTTACGGAAGAGCACTTTGCTCGATCGAGAAACATCGTATATCATTCACGATAATTAAATCGTTAATATAAAAAATCGCACGGATTAAAACTAGGTTTGCAGAAACAATTCCACGAGCGATTGAATCCTCCTCTTTTTTTTTCTTATATACACACAAAAGGGAGGAGGGGAAAAAAATAAGATTCTAATCGGCGCGTCACATCTACATATCAATAGATGGAAGAGTTTGAAATGCAAATAATCTTTACTTTAATAGTCTAAGACGCTCCTCGTGCACAAAATCGATACTTTCGGATGACTTAAGGCTAAACGGCATCGCTGATTCTATTCGAATCGATCGTCGACTTCACCGATATACGTTGCCGTATGATTAGTAGTCATATTAGCGAAACATTCGTCGCTAGATGAAAAAACAGCGCTGCTGCGAGCGGGGGGGAAGAGGAGGAAATACGAAAGAATGCAATTAAGCACAAGTATCGAAACACGATTTTAAAAAAAAAATTTACTACACTATACTTTCCTAATGACGAATTGTTTCGGTGTCGAAATAACATTTGTATATTTAATAATTAACAATCTAATCTACAGATTAATCTGTAGATTAAATCGATTTTCGTAACGGAAAATATGTAGTAACAGCTTTTATTAGAACGGGGGGAGGGGATCCGTATCTCCCGAGTCGATTTCATCTATAAATTGTCACACGTCTTCTACATTCCCGAGCCTTTCATTTTTTAATGAGGTGCGTATCCGTCATCCATCGACGTTCTATACGAGGAGAAATGTTATCCTTTCAATGTTAAGATATAGGAGAGAACGTCTGGCCTGGCCTTTTGAA